GCCAACCATGCCACTTTGAATGTTTGTTGCTCTCCAAAGTTCTGCCAATAATTCAATCTCATGCATTAGGCTCCTGAAAGGGCTCACTATGCCTCTTCTGAGTCTCCCAATTCAGGGCTTCGATCCATAATTTTTCCCATTCCAGTTATCATTCCAGATTCCCAAATTGTAAAATTTGGGGTCTGTTTCGGTTTTGCTTCGTCAGTCATACTGAACTGGTTCAAACCAGTTTGAAGCCCTGTCCATTGCTGGTGGGAATGTAAAAATGGTACACTCTCTGTGGAAAACAGTTTGGCAGTTCCTCAAAAAGTTAAACATAGAATTACTAATGACCCAGCAATTCCACTCCTAGGTATATACCCAAGGGACTTGAACAGGGACTAAGACAGATACATATATACCAATGTTCATGACAGCACTGTTCACAATAGTCAAAAGATGGAAACATCCCAAAAAATCCATTAACAGATAAACAGATAAACAAAATGTAGTATAATATATACGGTTGAATATTATTCCACCATTAAAAAGGAATGAAGTTCTGATACATGCTACTACATGAATGAAACTTGAAAACATTATGCTAAGTGAAATAAACAAGACACAAAAAGACAAGTATTATATGATTCCACTGACCTGAAATATATAGAATAGACAAATTCATAGAGAAAAACAGTAGGGTAGAGATTACCAGGGGCTGGATTGGAAGAGGAGAGGTTATTGCTTAATGGGTACAGACTTTCTGTTTGGGATAATGAAAGCGTTTTGATAACAGATAATGGTGATGATTATACAACATTGTGAATGTTATTAATATCCCTGAATTGTACCTTTATAAATGGTTGAAATGGAAATTTTTATATGTATTTTATCACAATTAAAGAAAAAATAAAACTACAACCACAAAACACATTTCCTTGATTCTAAAACCACTTTAGGCTAAACTTGGTTATCCATTTCCAGAACTTTAACTATCATCTGTGTTGGATAACTCAGTAATCCTGCCACACATCTTTGTCTTCATCTGGGACCAACCTGGTGATTCTTTAAATTCTTTGTGCTCAAAACTGAACTTATCTTTACTCCCACAAAGCTAAGTCTTCCTCTGGAATTTCTATTTCACTTATCAATCCCATTACTGAGCCAGTAAAATCTTGATGGCACTTCTGACTTCTGTCTTAGACATTCATTTGGCACATTATTAGTTGCTGTGCTCTATTTTAACAGAATTGCTCAAATCAGTGTCTTTTCTCCATTCTCAGTGTCACAACCCTAGGTGAAGTCCACATATTACAACATTCTCATAACTGTCTCCAACATTCTCTCCACCTCTCTAGATCAGTACCTGGCATATAAACCCAAAACTAATTGCCATCAAGTCAACTCCAACTCATGGTGACCCCACGCATGTCAGAGTAGAACTATGCTCCATAAAGTTTTCAATGACTGATTTTTCAGAAGTAGATACCAAGCCTTTCTTCCAAGGCACCTCTGGGTAGATGTGAACCACCAACCTTACCGTTAGCAGCCATGTGCTTAACCATTTGTACCACCCAGGGACTCCATCTGGCATATAGAAACCCACTGCAGTCAAGTCGATTCTGACTCATAGCGACCCTAAAGGACAGAGTAGAACTACCCCATAGGGTTTCCAAGGAGCGCCTGGTGGATTTGAACTGCCGTCCTCTTGGTTAGCAGCCATAGCTCTTAACCACTACACCACCAAGGTTTCCATCCGGCACATAGTAGGTGCTAAATAAATGTTCTATAAATTAATTAATTTAATTTATTAATGAAAAAATTAAGTCCCTGAGATTAATCTTTAAAAAAAAATTGCCATCAAGTTGATTCTGACTCATAGAGACCCTACAGGACAGAGTCGAACTGCCCCATAAGGTTTCCAAGGAGCAGCTGGTGAATTCAAACTGCTGACCTTTTGGTTAGCAGCCTCTTAACCACATTCTAAACCTGCCTTCTTTCTGCTCCAGAATCTTCAGTGGCTCCCCATTTCCATCAAATTCAGATCAAACATCTTATTCAAGAAGATCCTATGATCTACCTCCATTACAGTTTAAACCACCTATGACTCCTCTTTATCAACACCTTTCCCATGTTCAAGCCAAAAAAACACTCACAGGTCTCTGAATGTGTCTTTGCTCATGATTTTCTTTTTCTCTCATCTGTGAACCCTTAAAATCTTCCCACTCGCTCTTCAAGACTCAGATGCAATATCACCTTGTCCACAAAGACTTTTCTGACCTCTTCCATAGAGGTAAGACTCATGACTCATTTCCTTTAGATCCCTACAAAAGTCACCTTCTCAGTAAAGTCTTCCGTGACAACCCTATAGAAAAAGCAATAGCCCCACTTCCCCTTACCACAGACACACAAACACAACGTTTCGTACTTCCATCACCCTGCTTTATTTTTCTGTATACCACTTATCACCATTGGTCATCTATTTGTTTTTATTGGTCTCTACCCCACTAGAATGCAGGCTTCATGAGGAGAGAGATTATATATGAGGTTTAAGGATTAGGACTATAACATATAGATACATATAAAACCAAAACCAAACTCATTGCTATCTAGTCGATTCTGACTCATAGGGACGCTATAGGACAGAGTAGAACTGCCCCATAGGGTTTCCAAGGCTGTAATCTTGACAGAAGCAGACTGTCGCATCTTTCTCCCACAGAGCAACTTAGTAGATTTGAGCCGCTGACCTTTCAGTAGCAGCTGCGTGCTTAATCACTGTGCACCAAGGCTCGTTATATATACACACATATACATGTATATATATCCAGTGTCAAGAATGGAACCTAACACATATACACATATGAGGCTTTCTTATTTGTTGAATAAAACAAAGAAAATAAGTGCCCTCTCCCTAAATCCTGAAGCACTCTGCCTCTTTGTCTTAAGCAGCTCAGGACTCTCACAGTCAACCTCCCTTCAGGCTATGTTCTGGACAATCAGGGAACTTCTCTCAGTCTTTGCCTGCCATCTATCTCTCCTCTGACTTCCTCAACTTCTAACCCTAATCCTTAAACCTCCTATTTTCTTAGCTTCTTTGGATTGACACAAATTTAAAAAATCTGCTACAGTCTCAGTAATACTAGGACATGACTTTTCACATTGCTCCATCATCTACATTAACCAAAACCCACAGGGGACATAGCCCACTCTGCCCAGGTTTCTGGAACACCTGACTCCAGCTAAGGTTCACAGTTACAAACTCCCATTTGTAAAGGAAACTCAGATGTTCTCTTAGGGCCCTTATAACACAAGTCAAAATACAGTGTAGGTTATATGAGACAATCTCTCTTAGCCTCCATGCTAGTGTGACATGTTCTTAAAGTTATCAGTACTAACTTACATTTGGTTTCACAACAGCTTGCAGAGTAATACTGAATCTGAGATATGCATCTTGGCCTCAATAATTCTTAACTTCAAACTTTTAATAAAACTTATCTTTTTATTCATATTGACATCAATCTACTTTCTCCATCAGTTTGTTACATGATACTGTCTTTGTTCTGGTATGGAAATGAACTCCAATCTAGTATGAACAGACTGTATTTTCCAAAGATGGTCACAAAAACATTTTCCATCTCATGTGTTCTTCTAAGGCTTTGCTATTCCCACATCAGGAGATGGGGTCTACATGGTCCCCTCCCTGGGTGGATATTTGTAACTGCTTCAACCATAAAGAACAGCTGAGTGATACTATTTGACTTCCAAAGCTAGGTTATAAAAATGCCATGCACTTCTTCCTTGTTCTCATGGGATGCTTGTTCTTGGAACTCAGCCAAGCAGCCCATAGAGAGATTCATATCAGGAGGAAATAAGGCCTCACCCATAGTCCTAGGTCAGCTATCAGTCAACAGCCAGCACCAACTTGCCAGTCAGGTGAATGAGCCACTTTGAAAGTGGATCCTCCAGCCTTCTCTGGAGCCTCCCTAGCTAACACCACATGCAACAGGGAAGAGTGGTCCCCTCTGAGCCCTGCCCAAATTTCAGATTCATGAACAAAATAGGAATCTTACTGTTTTAAACCACTAAGTTTTGGGCTGGTTTGTTACACAGCAATAATTAACTGGACATTGGTGGCCCAGTGGTAGAACTCTTGCCTTCCATGTGGGAGACCTGGGTTTGATTCCACCACCTGTCTGTCAGTGGAGGCTTGCCTGTTGCTATGATGCTGAACAGGTTTCAGCAAAGCTTCCAGACTAAGACAGACTAGGAAGAAAGTCTTGGTGATCTACTTCCAAAAAGCAGCCAATGAAAACCCTATGGACCACAATGGTCCAATCCCCAGCAGATCACTGGGGATGGCACAGGACCAGGCAGCATTTTGTTCCTCTGTGCATAGGACTGCCATGAGTTGGGGGGCTGACTCAAAGGCAGCTAATAACAATAACATACAGTAACAAACCCAAATCAACCCTTCTCTCTAGCTTTTCTCTTAAGTCAATAAGGCTCTTTCTTGCTCCACTATTTTTCTAGCTCTATTTCAAAAGTTTTTATGCAATGTACTACAAAGTCTTCCATTAATAATCATAAAATTGTATTGATCTTCCCCACAACTGGAAGACTTATTTGGCTCCTTGCTTCTTGAGAATTATTTTCAAATATTTTATTCTTTATAAACAAGTAATGCAAAACTTTCAGATTCTTTGCCAGTGACCTCTAGAAATTAGTTCTCAAATCCAGGAACAGATTTTGTGTTCTGTTACAACAGATGTGTATGAAGAAATTAATATGGTTTTAATTAGTTTCATCACCAGAAAAAAAGGTTAACCTAATCTTCCCTTTGAGTATGTATGCTAATCACCCTAAATGGCCATTGACTGATCCTCTACATTTGGGAAAGGTCTAAATGATCTGATTCAGATAGATTAGTATAATCTGATAATCCCACCCACTGATACTTGATTTGTTTGCTTGTTTTGATTGTGAACGTGGTTGAGTACACTAGAATTTAAAACTTACATTACCTATAACAGTTGGTTCCAGGTCCATGAAGAGAGCTCTAGGAACATACTTCCCAGCTCTCGTCTCACAGAAGAAGTTATCGAAAGGTGCATTCGTATGCTCTATTTTAGCATTTTCCAGTCGATCCATTTTACTGCCAAGAATGATGCCATCTGGCTGGATTCCATGTTCCAGGCAATAGAGTTCCCAAAGAGTATCCCCAATCTGGACACCAGCTTGGACAATGTGAATGGAAAGGCACTCCGTCTGAAATAAACCATAGCAAATTAGAACTGAAAAGGCCTTCTTAGATAAGATGAGCTATGTTACTCAGAACTTCTGGTTACAAATGAAAGAAATCATGCTAGCTTAAGCCAACAAGAGAAATATTTTATAAGGATAATGAAAAGTGTCTCATGGAAACCAAAAGCCAGGGTACAGCAATTGAAAACAGCCTCAAGTTCTACTAAAAGGTTCCATTCAGCAATATAAGTTAAGCAACTACTGAGTACTGAGCTAAGAACTGAGTTAAGACTATATATATACCAGACTGATTCACCCAGAATAAATTTAGCTAGTTATTTGGACAAAAAATCAATGAATACCTTTGTCACAAATTAAAACTCATTGCAGATAAATTAAAGATGTTACCTTTTCATGCCTTGAGATTTTACATTTACTATTTATCTGTTCTCTAAACAAGAAAGGATATCTGAGGACTTCCAGGCAACATGGCGCTTTAGACAGAAGCACCACACCGTCCCTCCACAGCAAAGATCCAAAAATCTAAGTCAAACAGAGACAAACATCAATCCTGAAACCCTATGCATCAAATGAAGAGATAAAGAACTCAGCCAAGCACCGAATGGAATAAGAAACTGACAGAGAACAGAAAGCAAAGAGAGATACATGCAGAGGTCCCCTATCAGCTAAAGCAGCATGAATCTGCAATCTTGGACTCCTATCTTCTAATCTTCTAATTGTGGGGAAGATCAGTGAACAGAGGGTACGGGAAAGCAGCTTCACAGAGCTTCCAGCAAGAGACAGAACAACTGGTAACCAGCAATATACGCTTTCACCACCCCTCACCCTTCTTCACCCCCACTTGGCCTCCTCTGCTTCCTGTGGAAACAGTCTCTTGGCCAAGAAGCACCAACTTCACCCCCATGCAGCTTGGATTCCGCCCACCCACGCTGGCCAGCTTCTTGAATGCCATTTGTTGGCTGCTGGTGTTGCTTTTTTCCACTTCTTTTGATTTCTTCCATACCTCTCACCACCTCCCCCTACTTTCTCTCAAATACCTGGCTCCACGTGCCACCTTTGCTTCTTCCTGAAAGGCTGTAAAACACCGCTCGACTGTGAAACTGCTTCACGACCTGTGCCACCACATTGGTGGGATCCCTGGGGCTTTTTTGTTTGTTTTGATTTGTTCTGTTTTTATTTGTTTGTTTCTTTGTTTTCTTTTCATTTCTTGGCTTGGGACCCCCTTCTAGCCAGGCTCTACGGCGCGACATGGGAGCTACTCTCTTAATCTGCACAGATGAACACTGGGATCCCTGGGGGTGTTTCTTTTTTCTTTTATTTTTTTTTTGGTTTTGTTGTTGCTATTGTTTTGTTTGTTTGTATTGTTTTCTTTCTCTCATTTTCCCTTTTTGCCTTTCTTCATTTCTCAGTTTCTTGTCTCTCTATACTTACCTTCTCTTCCTGTCTCCTGAATACCTGGCGCTGTGTGACTCATCTACTCCTTCTACCCAGGTTGTACTTCACAGCCTAGGAGCAACCTCACCAGTCCTCGCAGCTACACCAGTGGGATCCCTGGGGTCTTTGCTTTTTTTTTTCCTAATTTTTATTTATTCATTTTTTTCTTTTACGCTTTTTCTTTTTTTTCCCCTCCATTTCTCAGTCTCTCATCTTTCCACTCCAGTGGCAAGCTCCCTTGGCACTCTTTTTTGTTTGTATACTTTGGATGGTTGTTCCACTCTCCTCTCTCTCCTGTTTCCCATACCCATCTTAGCTACACACATCACAGTATCACCCTCCTTCCTGTCTACCTGCACCATGCACTGAACATCACACCCCCAAGCAGCACAGGCATGGCCTACTAGAACCTGCCCTGCACTGATTCCCAGCCCACCCTGTCAGCCCTAGTACGTGTCACAAAAAACCTATCCCAGCAACTCCCCTTCAGCTGGACCTGTCCTACTGTACCATACCTGAGCAACTGACTCTACCTATTGGAGAAGGAGGCAAAAAGTATTGTACCCACAGACGAGCAAACAACAAAGAACACACAACCCTCCTGCTCAGACATAACCAAATAAAAGAAAAAACCCGGATGAAACAGACAAATCTAAAATCAGTAAACAAGGAAAATAACTAGTGAATGTCCCGAAGACAGCAGAGAATATCAAAACATACACAAAAACAGGACAGGATGGTTCCAGTAGGCATCCAAAATAAAACAACCAATGACTTTCCAGTAGAAGAAAAGGCACAAGAACTACCTGACAGGGGATTCAAATCTCTAATATACAAAGCTATTCAAGAGTTGAAACAAAAAGAAGACAAAAATGAGGAAAAATACACAAATTCATGGAAAAGGCAGACAAATTCATGGAAAATACAGATAAAACATAGAAGAATTCAGGAAAATAATACAGGAACAAAATGAAAAATAAATTCACAACTAGAAATCATACAAAAACAGCAATTAGAAATCCAAAAGATAAACAACAAGATTTCAGAAATGGACAGTGTCATAGAGGGGCTGAGGAGAAAGTTTGAAACAATGGAAGACAGGATCAGTAAAATTGAAGAAAAACACTTGGATACAAAGCTGTATGAGGAAAAATCGGAAAAAAGAGCAAAGAAAAATGAAAAAACCCTGAGAATTATGTGCGATACAATCAAAAGAAAACATTTGTGAGTGATCAGAGTTCCAGAACAGGGGGAGAAAACAGAAAACAGAGAAGATTATTGAAGAATTGTTGACAGAAAACTTCCCCAATATCATGAAAGATGAAAAGCAGACCATCCAAGAAGCTCAACGAAACCCCATATAAGAAAGACCCCAAAAGAAAATCACCAAGGCATATCATAATCACACTCACTAAAACCAAAGACAAACAAAGAATCCTGAGAGCAGTTCGTGAAGAACAAGAAGTCACATACAGAGGAGAAACAATACGACTAAGCTCAGATTATTCAGCAAAAACCATGCAGGCAAGAAGGCAATGGGATGACACATATAAAACCCTGAAAGAAAAAAATTGGTGGCCAAGAATAATATATCCTGCAAAACTCTCCTTCAAATACGATGGTGAAATTAGGTCATTTCCAGATAAACAAAAATTAAGGGACTATATAAAAACTACACCAAATTTACAAGAATTATTAAAGGGAGTCCTTTGATCTGAGACCAAATAACATCAGAACACAGGCTGAATCTAGGAGGCAGGATCGAACCAGCCAGATACCAACCTAGGAAATGAACTCTTAAGGACTATCCAAAACCAAAGGAATTACAATGGAACCAGAGAGGTTAATCTGTAAATGACAACAACATCAGAATGATAAAAGAGGAATAAACAGTGTAGGTATAGAACCTTCTAATGGAGAGGAAAGCAAGCTGATACCAAGTAATAATAGACTGATTCAAACACAGGTAGGTAAGGATAAATTTCAAGGTAATCATAGAGAAAGTTAACAAACCCACTCATCAAAATAAGGAAGAAAAACATAAAGTCTCAGTAAAAACAAAACCTATAAAAACAAAAGAAATAAAAAAAAATCCTCAAAGAAAAGGCATTCAGCACAGGAGAGTAAGAGGAACAAAGAAAATGTCAGCACCACAAAAAAAGCACTACAAAATGACAGCAATAAACTCACACCTATCAATAATTACACTGAATGTAAATGGACTCAATGCACCCATAAAGAGACGGAGAGTGACAGAATGGATAAAAAAAATAGGATCCATCAATATGCTGTCTATGAGATGTAAATTTATTAAAGATCAAAGGATGGAAAAAAATATATCAAGCAAATAGCTACCAAAAAAGAGCCGGAGTGGCAATACTAATCACAGATAAAACAGACTTTAAAAAAAAATCCACCATAAAAGACAAAGAAGTACACTATATAATGATTAAGGAGACAATCAATCATGAAGACATAACCATAATAAACATCTACGCACTCTATGACAGGACTCCCAAATACATAAAACAAACTCTAAAAGCACTGAAAAGAGAAATTGACAGTTCTACAATAATAGTAGGTGACTTCAACACACCACTCTCGGTAAAGGACAGCCATCTAGGAAGAAACTCAACAAAGATACAAAAGACCTAAAGGGCACAATCAGCCAACTTGATCTCATAGACATATATAGAACATTCCACCCAACAGCTGCAAAGTACACATTCTTTTCCAATGCATATGGAATGTTCTCCAGAATAGACCACATCTTAGGCCACAGAGCAATCCTCAAAAAGATCCAAAATGTTGAGATAATACAGAGTATCTTCTCTGACCAGAGCGCCATCAAGGTAGAAATTAACAACAAGAAGAGCAAGGAAAAAAATCAATTACATGAAAACTGAATACACCCTGCTTACAAACCACTGGGTAATAGAAGAAATCAGAGATGGAATCAAAAAATTCCTAGAATCAAATGAGAATGAAAAAACATCACACCAAAACCCTTGGGACACAGCAAAGGCAGTCCTCAAAGGACAATTTATAGCAATAGATGCACACATCAAAAAAGAAGAAAGGAACAAAACCAAACATTAACTACACAACTTGAACAAATAGAAAGAGGACAGCAAAAAAAAGCCCATGGCCACTAGAGAAAGGAAATAATAAAGATCAGAGGAGAAAAAAATGAACTAGAGAATAGAAAAACAATAGAATCAGCAAAACCAAAAGTTATCTCTTTGAAAGGATCAACAAAACCGACAAACCACTGGCGAGACAGACAAAAGAAAAACAGGAGAGGACCCAAATAACCCAAATAAGAAATGAAATGGGGGACATTACAACAGACCCAACTGAAACAAAAAGGATTATAACAGAGTAGTAGGAAAAACTATACTCCAACAAATTTGAAAACCTAGAGGAAATGGATAAATTTCTAGAAAAACACTACCTACCCAAACTAACACAAAGTGATGTTGAAAATCTGAACAGACCCATAACAAGAGAAGAGACTGAAAAGGAAATAAAAGAAAAAAGAAAAAACTCCCAACAAAAAA